ATAGAGAAATTAATATCCTTTCATATAGTGAGGATTCTGGGCCTCAGAGTTTTTCTTCAGTGCTCTACCCTAGATCATGGCTGGATCTGTCCCACTCACATTTTGGGTGCAATTCCTTCCCACTGCACAGCTTTTGAGTTGTACCAGGGTGTTCTTGTCTTCCTATGAGGCAGCAGTTTAATTTATTGATTAAGTGTGCTTCCTGGTGCCAAGCAATTGTTTTAGCTTCATCATTCCCCTCAACTAACTTGATTTTACAGAACTGACCACACTAGGTAGTTATTTTAATGGTAAATCAAATAATGCTTCTCTAATTTTTTCCCCTTTGGTTGACTATCCAAATGTCAGGAGCTTTCTAAGTGACTAGTGTTAGACATACTTAATTACAGTCCAAGATCAACTGCCAATTGCTTGGGAAATCTTGGGACAGTGCTCACCTTCTTTAAGCCACTATTATCTTATCATCGAAGATAAGATACTACTTTGGACCTTGTCTTGTCCATCAGAAGATTTAATGAAACATGTTTGATTCGTAATATAATGAGTGGTCTTTAATAAGTTTTGCTATAGATGCTGACATTGCAGTAATTATAGCGTTGTTAGCTTTAATATTTAATTGCAGCGTTATCTCTGTTGAGAGACCTTCACTGACCTCTTTTACCTGAGTCATCTTTTTAAAAAAAAAAACAGGAAGAGTTAAATATTTGCTTCTCATTTGATATTGTTCCTTCCTTATGGAGCTTCTGTTATGTTCTAGATTGGCTTAAGGCTTTTGTTTTCTATCTCCTCTCTTATAATTACAGTTTTGGTGCAAACTCATTCATTATTATTGCCTGCCCTTTTTTTGTGCCTAACATATCAGAGTTGTGTGGAGTTTGTTGAATTAAGTGAATTTGTCAAATTGGGATTTGTTGTAAATTGCATAGATTCATCTTCTGGGAATCCTTACTAATGCCACTGTTGGTACCACCTCAATTTTGATATGTGCAAATAAAGTATAGCCTTAAGCTAGTTTTCTTACTTTCCACAAATATTTTGCATTGGATAGAGGGTAGCTGTATGTGTGGTGGGGGAGGGCCAGGGGAATGAACCTAGAGTCTTGCACATAGCACTTTACTACTTAGCTGTATCCGAAGCCCTATTACCCACCTACCCCCACGCCCCATTTCAGTTTTTTGACAGGGTCTTACTAATTTGTCCAAGTTGGCCTTGAGTTCAGTTTGTAGTCCAGACAGCACTTCAATTTGGAATTCTCCTGCCTCAGTATTTCAAGCAGCTTGGATTGCAAGCCTATGCCCACAGGGACAGCTGACTGTATCAGTTTTTAATTTTTGTGCTTTTTTGTGGTTTGTTTTTCTAGTGTTACATTACAGACCTTTTTCTTTTCCTTACATAGGACTTTATAAAAAGACTAACTTTTCTTTAGACTTGTATTGCTCACATCACTCTAAGGTATACATTTATCAGCCCGTCATTAATACATTACCATTTGACTATCATTAGGCTGTCACTCTGTAAAACCCCTGAGAAAGAAAGAGAGACCTTATTTTAAATAGGCCTGATACTTTGCTAAAGAGGTTAGTGCACTATCTAAAATTCTATTCTTGGCAAGAATAGGCTTTTGAAACATCAAGAAGAAATGAAATTTACAGGTGCTCCCAAACAATGAAAGGTCTGGGAAGAATAAAGTAGTCAAATGGGGGAGAAAACAGTCTAGTCTAAAACACTGCCAAAGGACAAAACTCATATAAGAGTTCCAGTGGAGTTATTTTGAAATAATTTAATATGAAATAAGAAGAATCTGAATGATCAGATTGAAGTTAAAGTCAAGAAATCCACATAAAGAGAAATAATAGTTTAAAGTCCCTGAAGGAGGCTCCAAGGAAACTCTCTGGTTAAAAGTGCACTGCCCTTTTGTAAGTCCCAAGTTTGGTTCCTAACACCCCCATCAGGCTGCCTGTACCTGCTTGTTACTCCAGCTCCAAGGAATTTGATTCTATTTCTTCTGGCCTTCATGAACATCAACACTCATGTATATACTTGCTGCTACAATATATATATATATATGTACGCAATTTAAAAAAAAGTCTATATTAAGTCTCTGAAGATTCTCTGGTCCATTTTTAGTGGCCATAGTAAGAAGATTTTTATTTTTTTGTATTAAAATTTTAGATACTAGAGTCTTGGCTAGATGAGAGAAAGAAGGTGAGATATTTACTAACCCTTTCCAAAGAAATGTTTGAGAAGAGGTGGCAGGAGGCATTCCTCAGTTTCCAATGAAGCCTTGATGAGACAACACACTGGAGGTAGTGTATGAGATATATACAGTTTTCTGACTTCAGAACTATTTGAAATGATACTTGGCAAAGCTCCACAAAAAATGCTGAAGGATTACCTAAGATTCTAGGTCACTGGGCACTTTTTCTAGGGACAGTACTGCCTCTGGGACAATAAGACCTGGGCCAAGAGTAAAGCCTATGGAATCTTACCAGCTCCTATGGAGTCAAGTCAGCTTTTTCTATGGATTAGAGCTCAGTCCTGCCCATTTGCTTCATTGTCCAGATGTCACTGCAAATGACAATGAGAAATGGCATTCAGTTTCTTGTGCCAAACATCAGACAAATTTGTATTTTTGGTTACAGCTAGGTATTGATCCAGTAAAAGTCTCAACCAGGAACAGATAGCAGTCAAGTTAGAGGTTAAGGCAGTGTGGTTCCTAATGCTGCTTCTGGGAAAAATTTCAATCAACTGCCTCCAGCTTTCGCTTCACAAAACTTTGACACATGTCCCTTGACCTTTACCAACTACCCTTTCACGTTTGACACTTAACATTTGCTACATGATTAAAATTCAGCGTTAATTAATTTCAATGCTATCAGTTAAGTTATATTTAGCTAAGAACACTCACTTTTGTCTTTTGTGAGTAGCACTGCAGCGCTATTACAAAGAGGTAGTCAGGAGGGCAACAGAGATACGAGAAGAGAAGAATGATTCAGTGTGCGGATAATTGTTTCAAGTGAAATTTAGCTTGGTATTTTTGTTCCTGTCCTCAGCAGAACTGAGATTTAGCACCTCCGGCTGGCATTTAGCCCCCACCGCCACAGAGAAGGAGGCTGTGCTGGGTGGATGCTGAGAATGAGCCACACCAGAATTAAATTATAGCACAGTTCTAACACTGGCAAGGGTTTTCTCTGGCCAGCTCGTGTGTACAAACCTGGTAATGCCAAAAGAAAAGCAAGGCATTGCTAGCAAGGCTCTCCATATGGTGTAGCACTGGCCTGAATGATGGGGGTTGAATAGTTGCTAGAGAGTTACTCTCTGAAACAGTGGCTATTTCTTACACAACCTTGTTGGATACCAGAATACTTGAGCATAGCAGATTCAGACATTCAATCTTAAAAGGCTACCTGTGAAGTTATCTTAATGATGACTTATATCATAGTGTGACTCAAATGCTTATTAGAAATAGATACCACACCTATCTCCTTTTTCTATTCTCCTGAGTTTTTTTTCAAGGAAGAATATGTTTGTTTTTTTAATTGGCTTCTTTATTCCACACACCCTCACCTTTTATAAATACATTATGGTAACAATGTGGTTCACTAAATCTGAATCTCAAAATGCTATAGAACCATTATCACTGTTGTTCTAGTATGAACTCAAAGTCCTTAAATGTGCTGTACCAGTGAAATGCTTCTATCATGTACAGGATTGAAAGACAGGACTACCCTCAGTTAAGGAAGCATAGTTTGCAATTTAGTTGCTGAAGATCCAAGTACCCATTTTTTATCCCCCTAGTTGTTTAAAATAATTGTTTTTGTATCATAGTAACTCAATTTTTACATTGCAGAGTCTGGCCTCAAGCCATCAAGCCTACTCTACTAATAGGTAAAGCAATTTGATTATATCTAGTAGATTTTGGATTCTTGAACAACAACAACAACAACAAGAATTTAACCTCCATTTCTAGGCTTTATTGTCAAATAACAAAGCACCCAGGTATACCAGGCAAATGTCCCTGGTGAGATACCATAGTAGTAACTGACCTATGGTCATATTCTAAGCTATGTTTAGTTTTGTTCCTAAGGGAACACTGAAAAGCTGATCTTGGTCACAGCACAGTATAACCTACTCAGCATCTAGCATGGTGTGTTTGGCTCTTTCTGTGTTCCCTCATCAGAATCCTATTCTTCAGAACCCGAAAAGTCTTTTCATCATAAAAAACATCACTGGGTAAACCTCCATCCTCAAGTTTCTAACATGGATCTTCCCTCACCTCTTTCTCAATTGACTATGTTCATGTGATTATCTTAATAATCTTGTATCCTACACAGACTTACCCCTTGGACACAGATTCACCTTTCACATCACAATGACCTCCTAATTCCACTGAACAAATGATCAGGAGTGCATGTGTGTCTCCCATGGCCTCCCTTGGTGTGGGTCCTAGCTTCCCTCCTGCAGTTGACTTTGTTCAGATCCTACCATTATTTCACACAAAAGATAAGGAGACTTTTGATATTAGAGCAGCACGATTATGTGAAAGGAAGAAGATGGCAAACTATACTTAAAGTAGATTAATATTTTAAATATGAGAAAATTTTGTACAATTGTACTTTTACAGTTCATGAGTCTTCTTTTTTTTTGTTTTGTTTTGTTTTTTTTTTCAAGACAGGGTTTCTCTGTGTAGCCCTGGCTGTCCTGGAACTCACTCTGTAGACCAGGCTGGCCTCGAACTCAGAAATCCGCCTGCCTCTGCCTCCCAAGTGCTGGGATTACAGGCATGCGCCACCACTGCCCGGCCAGTTCATGAGTCTCTTAGCAACTTTTGGTTTCAATCAGCATATGTGAGAATAAGAAACAATTTTCGAGGAAAAGTTTAAAGATCTCTGCTTTGTAATATCTTTCTTCGATGTTGACTAAATAGATGACTGTCTCTATATCTTGAGATTGAATATAGTTTACTTCTATAAACTATATTTCTGGTTTTCTGTTTTCAGGTATTGCACAATGGCCTCGTTATGGAGATGAATCACCCCACTGTGGGGAAGATTTCAGTCCCAGGTTTGAAATTTTTTCGTTATTTTTCTTAACACCTTCATTCATCAACTGTACATATGCTTCTTTCTGCAGGGAGCTGAAAACTCCCTAAAGAACTTATTGAAAAACAATTCAAATGTATAATTTGTATAAAAGGGGAATCCTATCACCATACCTACTTTTAAGAATGTAAGCTGAAACTACAGGCTATGTGTCTTTTCACTAAAGAATGTTAAAATGTCTCAGTGACAAAAGTGTTCATGTTTCCTCATTCCACAGTATGTAGTTATGGGCATATGAAAGTAAGTTATGTGATTATTAATAGATAAATAATAATAATAGATATGCTATAGAACAGAAATATTTTGTGGTTCCTATGAAGATAGAGAAGAGCAGGAATGTAGGAGTGGCCATCTCTCAGAACTGTGTTCAAATGTACAGATCTTGACTTTCAGGTCAAAAAATTAAGTGTTAATAAACTGTGGTTTTAAAATGTTGACTCATACCAGATAAACTCACCAAAGTCTATTGCTTGGGGAAAAGTGACATTTTCATTTCCAGATGGAGGCATCTTTGTGGTAGCCAGGGGCATCTTCTATTTTTCAATTTCAAGAATAACCTGATAATGATTTCCTGAAGCTGCTCAGAGAATGACCATTGATAACTAGAAACATGTAACCAGAGGGAAAAATGATGAATAGAAACAAATTGAGAGGGTGTGGATGTGTAAGGGTGTATGGAGGGCTCTGTGTGCGTTATGATAGTGACGGGGAGTCATGCAATCATGTCTGTCTATACATGTAACATGGCATTTAAAAAGATTGTGAAGAAAATGTTGATGAAGTCTAAGGAGGTCGTGTATTCATTCACCTATACAATGAGCATAGGGTGAATGCCAGGCATTGTGTTGGAGTCTATTAATACAAAAATAAAGGAGACAACTTGGAGTCCACACACAAACCTTGCCCTAATTAGTAAATACTATGAACTATGAGTGGATCTTACAAAAGTGTAAATAAAGGAAAATAAAGTGTGCTGTCCTAGAGACTAGCAAGTGCACAGATGCTTCCTTCTGTAGTTTGGGGGACTGAGGGATGCTTATTTGGTATAGGCTGTTTTATAAACTAAGGTTGAAGAAAAAAATGAAGTTGGTCTTGAAGAATAAAAGAGTAGGCTTGAAACCTGACATAAGAAAGAGCTGGGTATGCTTAAAGGTTAGGAAAGACCATTGGGCTGGGAAAGACACTAAGGGCACAGGCAGAAGCTTGAGCCTCCACCAAATCGGATTTACCCTAATCTCTACTGGTCTAGAGCAGAGAGAGTGGCATAATTTAGATGTAAAGTTCTAAGTCAGGACCTTATTACAAGAGCTTATGTGATAGTCTTTTAACTGGTTCAGAACCAAAACACCCATTGCAATACTTTTAGGATGGGAAGACCTTAAAACCATTTTGCTCAGTTTCTAATTTTTTTTTTAACAGTAAAAGCGATTTTTCAAAAGAAGTCTCTATATTTTCAACAGATCAAAGGGAAATGTTGCTGGTCGCTAGATGAAGGGTCCATCCAGTCAGTTAGCTGTCTTGCTTTGCCCCCCTACATGCTAGGATTCTTCAATCCCCTTCCTTACATATGTAGATTTTTTCTGAGAGGACTTGGGCAAATGTCTTCTTGCCACAGACAAGGCACAAATAACAGAAACAAAAAATGATCCACTCAAGTATAGCTTTGTAAATTAGTTAGTCTAATGGGGTTATTTACAGGAACATGGTAATGTATTCCTTATGGAGAGATGGCTACTTAGAGGTAGTTATTCTACGGAGGAAAACATCTGTTTCCTCTGGCAACTGTTAACCACATATGTATTTGGGAAAGGGGACAGTTCATGAGCCCCTTTCCTTAGCAGTGGTTATAAATCCTTGGGGTGGCACTTGAGTTTCTCTATCCTCCATAACTGAAAATCAATGGGACCAGTTTTATGTGGCTATCAAGAGAATGAATGTTTACAGTTGCTGGCAGTTCAAGCAAAAATAGCCACACCATACCCATTGGACAATTTCACAACAGACCCCAAAACAAAGTTCTAAACTGCTGATACAAGTTGACTCAGTATTTTACAGATGAGGTAATAGAGTCATTGGCATCCCCATAAATTAGAAGAAACAGTCTTCATTTTAAAGACAATAGAATTATTAGCTGGATCCTGAAGGAAAACAGAACCCAGTAGAGAATATAGGGAAATATCATTGGAGAGGACACTCTATTAGATGTGAAATTTGCTGATTTTTGTGTAAAAAGAATGAAGACTCAATCTCAAGAAAGAGATTTTGTTCTTTGAATTTCTGGAAAGGAAGGCTATCCCCATTGCTCAGTTTAATCTGTGAATGTATCAAGTAGCTATGGTCACAATAATATGTGTAACAAAGACACAAAACCTTAGTCTCTTTCTGTGTTCCTTTATTGCATGTGTGTGATCAGCTGGGAGATACAATCATAGGCTGAGCTGCCTTTATTTCTGAGTACACATGATGGCTGGCTTGATTTCTAGCAGCATGCTGGTCTCAGTTCTGCTCTGTGTGTCTATTATGTCCCCATGACAAATGGCTGAAGAATAAGAAGACACAGAATCTATAGTGTCACTTAAAGTGTTAACATAGAACCAGCAAACCTGACTGTCATTGACTAAGTATTTTAAGCTGTTTCCATAGGGCAAAAAAAAGACCAGGCCTTTGAGAAGACTTTGTGATGGAGGGGTGAACTTAATGCTAAACAAATAATTGAGGGGCAAAAAGTCAATTTACAATGATGTTTTCAGCTCTCCAGCACTATCTCATTTCTGGTTTTACCCCTGTGTAGATTATTTCTTCTTAATTTCTATACAGCTCATTTATCCTTTTGGTATGTCTATCTTACTGACAGAATTTCTTTCTGTAAATTATCAGTATAAAAGTTATCCAACTTCAGGATCATTAGTTTTTAACTATCTAATAGAGACATAGTTTGAATTTTCTAAATTTAGTTCTATAGTTTTGTATCTAAGTATAGTCATATTTGTATTTATAATTAAATTGTTACTAAATATTTACACACTCATCTATATTTTCTTTGTTATTAATGAATAATGATATGTGCTGCATTTCCATATGTTGCATATTTGAGATCTTATATCATTACTGGTAACTCGTATCCTGAAAAAGAATATGCTGGTTTTTAGAGACAGAGTTTTGGTATGTAGTTGTAGCTGGCCTGGAACTCAGTATGTAACCCAGGCTGACCTTGCATTTGCAGTGTTCATTCTCCCTTTCTTTCAAAGGTGCTGAGATTACAATATGAGTCACATCTGGTCTATGAGCATTCTTATGTAGCATCTCTAGTATCTCATTTTTAGATGTGAAATTCACATAGCATTCCCTCAGCTAAGAGCTCCTATCTATGTACCAAAAGACTACACATCAAAGTACTGCTTAGTCAATGTAAAATGTTAACCCTCTTCACACAGATTAACTAAAATGCATTCTCTTCACTATTCAAAGATGCAAGATGAAGTCAGTTGCTCACAGAGCTTCTAGTTTGTGGAAAAGGAGGCAGGAGACAATAAATGTGGAAAAGGAGAATGAGTGTTTTCATGGAAAACTAGAGGCTGAAGCACATGCTCTCAGTTCCTGGATCAGAGAGATCCTGCATAATCTACAGACTGAAGACTGGTCCTCTGAGGAAAGTGGTATAACTAGATATTTAGAGACTGTAGCAGGGCACACTGAAGGCTAATGAGAATATGCTACAGTTGAAAAAATAGGGAAAAAAGGCTCGAAGTTACTCTGGAGAGTGATCTAGATGTTAGATGAATGAGGTCTTCAGCAGAACTAATGATGTCCTTAAAAGCAAATCAGAGGTTTCAGAGTTACCTACAGCAGTGTCCTTCATCTCTTCTGCATGATATCTGAAAGCTGAGCTTGGAACTGGAGGTTAGGCAGAAACGTCAGCCCCACCAGAGCAGATGATTTCATGGATTCATTTTAGGAGTGATTTCTGTTTCTACCAAAAACTTCTCTGGTAAACCTATGGTATCCTGAGGTGTTTGTTTGTTTTGTTTTGTTTGCTTTTAAATTTAAATTAATTATTTTATTTATTTACGTTCTAAATGTTGTCCCCCTCCAGGTTCGCTCTCTCAGAGTTCTTCTTACTATTCCCTTTCCCCTCCCCTTTGTCTCTGAGAGGGTGCTACCCATTGCCTCTCTCCCGCCTTCCGTGGGGCATCAAATCTGTACAGGTTGAGGTACATCCTCTCCCACTGAAGCCAGACAAGGCAGCCCTCTGCTACATATGTGCTGAGGACCTTGGACCAGTTCGTGTATGTTCTTTGTTTGGTGGCTTAGTCTCTTGGGAACTCCAAGGGTTCTAGGTTAGTTGACACTGTTGGTCTTCCTATAGGGTTGCTATCCCCTTCAAATCCTTCAATCCTTCCCCTATCTCTTCCCTATCGGTCCCAGACCTCAGTCTAATGGTTGACTGTAAGTATCTGCATCTGTCTCAGTCCATCTGTCCTGAGTATTAAACTGTGAAATTGATAAAAATGTGTACTTATTAAATATAGAAAGTAAAGACATATTCAAGTCTCAGCAGAAGTTCTACAATGAGACAGATGATATAAACACCAACTGACTGTCACAGTAATGGAAAGAGCTTGCATAAATTTTCACAAAGTCTGTCAGTTCTCACTGAACCGCTCACTGTATCCTGCCATGCCACTGGCCATTAGCCTATTAGCCAGAGAGGATCCTGCTGTCCTTCCATATTCTGTGGAGGTGCCAAAATGGCCTTGGTGCTGTGCCCTGAGCTTCAAAGTCTGTCACTGCAATAGACTTTGCTGTGTAGTTCTAAAGTTGCTCACTGTAACCTTTCAAATTCTTACCCATGAAAATGCACTGTGCTCATTTGATGCCAGAAACTTCTGGGAAGTGTTCACTGGTGATTGTGTCAGTGATCTGAGGGGACAGTCTTGTGAAAGGATTCTAAAGTCAATTACC